GGTCACCCAGGGTCAAAAAGTTGGTGTCTAGGTCTTTTGTGTTTGTCGGTCACGTCGGGTACGTAGTCAACGGCTTGCCTGAGGAGGGGATTGTCATGTCTAGCGGCTACGTCAAATCGTTTCTCCGCGTTTTGTCTTATTGTCTGTGTAGCGTTTGTGTATTGTAAGTCTCGTAATATGTCAGTGTTTCGTACGTACCAGGGCGCGTCGGTGGCCGTGCGGAGGGCTATGTTTTCCACAGCCTGTAATGACTAGTCCAGGCTGTATCGTTGCTCCCGCAAGGAACATGATTCTCATTCGATTTTTTCATAATCTTACTAAAAAAATGACCCTTGAATCATATCCGCATGTTGCCAGACGTTACTAATGGTCAAAAATTGTTTAAACAATTTTTTTAAACAAATTCGTAATTTTCGCTCGAAATACATTTTAATAGGCGTTTTGGGGTATCCTGTACAAAAAAGTTCATATGCAACTTTTCTCTAAAATCTACCGTTTTCGAGATATTAACGATTTTTTGTTCGAAAAAAACGCGATTTTAATCATTTTCTTCTCTAAGGATTACGTCAGTAAACAGGACCTTACAACAAGGAATTTTAATTACTCTCCAAGTTTTTTTTTAATAATCCGTATTAACTCCAAGTACAAAACCTATTACCTATCTAAAATACCTATTTTCTACTTTTAATGTCATACCACGTAATATTCTAATTCAAATTTCATATTATTAAAATTACCTACTACGGTACTGTCAGGTAGAAACTAAATATTTTATTTCAATAATAAAAATTATTTTAATCCAGCCCCAACAATTCCGCTTAATCTGAGAGAGTTAGAACGATTCCGTTTCGCTTGGTTCTCGACCGCCACATCAGCCGGCGGGGCCCAGCCAGGACAAAAGGAGGTCCACAAAGCGCCTACACCGGCCGCATTTGCGGTCGGGGTAGACGACGGATGGGGCCCACCTACGAGTGCTGTCCAGGCCTACACGAGATGAGGCAGGATAAAGAGGGATAATCCCCCTCGATCCCAAATCATTGAGGCCAATTTCTAGCCATGGAATAATGGCGCG